TTGATCTGTGGATGTAGAGATGGTCTTTAGATGACGCAGATTCTAGAACCGCTGGTGTAATGGATTGAAACACCTTTTGGTCCTCATCCGGGGATCCCGGTTCACACATCATTGAATTTGTATATATTTGGTTCATTTTGGTTTCTCTCTAGATCTCTCTAGTTTGAGACCTCGTTAGTTGCTGAGGTGGCGTTGCCTTTTGGAGCTTCGCCAGCGCGACGCAGATCGATTCAAGCGATTCCACTTCCCGGTGGCTGTGGCAGCTGGAGTGGTGATCCTGGTGGTGATGTGGAGAGCTTTTCAAAGGCCAGAATTTTGCTCCTAGTAGTACGGCCAGGAGCCCCTAGTAGCTTCATGCTCCTAGTAGCGATGCCAGGAGCCCCTAGTAGCGTCCTTGCTCTACTTCGGTGGGAGCTTCGAAGCCGAGAACCCTTTTCTTGGAAGTGCCCGAGGAATTGCAACTAAACCAACACAACAATCTCAAGATGCATTAGTGGCGAGACAAAAACCAGCAAAGCAGGTATTTCTAAATTTGGAGACCACTGTTTGTGCTCTCGGTTTGTTGTACTGAGTCGGCTTTGACTTGGGTGCTTGCTATCCTATTCGTTATCCTCTGCGAATGCATCGATCGGCGTAGTGGTCCGCCCGTTCTGCAGGCGCTAAAACGGCCGCCGAGTCAGAGCCTCCACTGACGTTCGCAGCAAAAGCCCATATGGCAGAGTCCAGGGAAGCCAGCCGGACGTTTTTGAAGCGGCCACACCAAATACATTATAAGTGTTAGGACAAAACAGACACCACTCGGGACATCTTGAATATGGGGAACACTCTGTGGAGATAGTTGAGCCATGTTGAGCCATCAACGCACAAACCAGTTTTGCAGATATTTGCAGATTGGTGCTCGGAGTAGACATAGACGACCCTGAGTAGATCCAGGATCGACTTTGCAGGCCTGCCTCTTTCGATTTCCCGGTTCTTGGTGCTGTGCAAGTTAACGAAGGTACCGGTACCATCCGGTACCGCCATTTTATTTGTAATGGCCTCCACCTTAGTAGCGATGGCCTCCAACCTAGAAGCGATGGCCTCCAACCTAGATTTGCAAGGAACTTAGTTTCTCCGCATCCATTTCGGTTCACTCGTTCACATGGCAACGATGCAGCTGATGAGGGAATTTGTGGACAGACAGGCGGATGGGAAGGGGGGAGTTGGGTGCAGTTAAAGCTGCAACAGTCAAGATCATGCGTGAATTTGAGAGACAAAACTCGGAGAAATGAACATGTTCAATTTGTTTCAATAAGCCAAGCTTGGCTTACCCTAGTGTTGCATCAATACAAGAGAGTCCAGGCGTCCATCCATGATGAATCGAAAGATTGTGCCTTGAACGCCTTGCAGCTCAGTCTTCTGCCTTGCAGCTCCCCACGCTTCGAACCCCCTCAAAGAGCGATTATGGGATCCGGCGTGTCGGCCGAAGCTTTGAAGAATGCCTCGGCGCAAGAAGTGAAGCAAGTGGTAGCAGATCTTCCACCTGAGAGCAAGCAGAAGCTCGAGGAGGCTCTCACAAAGACGGAGAAAACCTCCTTAGCACCTTGGCGTGAAATCTGTCTGGGATCTGATGGGCCAAGGTCTTCTGAAGCTTTTGAGACGTCTTTTGGTCTGCCAGCAGGTCATTTTCGTGAGACAGTTTGGACCTAAAGGCCTTGAAACTGGTGACGTGCACCAGCCAAAACCTTGAAGAAGGCCGAAGATTTTCACGAAGCAAATCGATGGGAAAGCTATTTTTTTTGCGAAGGTATCTTCTGCTCCACAGACAGTGGCGACAGAGGACACAAGGTCACTCATTGAGAAGCTCGCTGGAGGAGTGAAAATGGTGGAGACCCTCGGCAGAATGATTCATCAGGTGGTTGATTCCATCAAAAAGGTGAACATTGCATTCGGTGTGTTTGCATTGGGTGTGGATGAACCACGTGAAACTGACTTAATAGGGGCAGAGGCCGAATGTGTAGATACTTTAGCGAGAACTGCTTTTGCTCTTGGATTCTTAACCCAGCAGAGTCAAGCGCCTTTTGGCTCTTTCGCCTTTTGTGAGGAACTTCATGCAGAATGCGGAAGTCTCTCGTCTGCGGAGGAGCAAGCTTTCTCTCTTTGCTTTCTGTGTTCAGCCGCGTCCACTTGTGTCGAACTCAGCCCGGTCTTTAAACTTCTTCCACGAGATTAGCACATGGAAACACGTGGACTAGGCAATCACAAGGACACAAAGGGACGTCAGAAGGAAACACAAGAAAAGCAAGCAATAAGAGAGCAAACGGACATCCAAGAGACGACAGACATCAATGCCACCACAGCAGCAAAGAACAGGATGAAGCCTACCCCCTTTGGAAGAGTGTTTGGGCATAACATGTTTTGATAATATGAGTTTTGGCAGAACTTGTAGCAAAAGGATCACCTCGTCAACTAGGAGCCAGTGGCCAAGCGGTGACTAACCAAGCTCTAGACTCTAAACCATCAAACGATTTCAAGGATATGGAGCTCTTTTGTCGGAGAACACTTCGTGAGTCTGCTTTCGTTGTGAACCAAGAACTGTGAGGAAACCGAGCCGTGGGGAAGAAACCGGTGATCTAAGGTCTTCACGAACATGTTTGGCCAATTCGACCAGGATGGCAGTGGCAAAGTGAAAGTCTCCGAGTTGGGCCCAATGGCAGATTCCATCATTCGTGCTGTGGACGGTGTGGATTCCAAGGACGGAGCACCAAACGAGAAAAACAGCAGCTGTTTGTGGCATCGCACTTAGTGGAGGTTGTGATTTTCTCATGGACAGGACACCATATGGCTAACTGCAGTGTAGAGAGAGGGCCATAAATGGGTCATAAATGTCAGCGCAGGAAGAGCTCATGAAGACCTTTGACAAGAACGGGGATGGAGAAATCAACAAGGAGGAGTGGAAGGAGCTGATCACAGAATTTTTCAAGGCGATGCAACAAAAGACTGCGACGCTTGGTGGGCACACCGTGTCAGACACTCCGGTTTTTGGAAAGATGTCCAGCACCCAGGATATCCCTAAGTCCCATTCTTCAGTGGTGCACTTCAGAATGAGTCACCCCGTATCCCCATTTTAAGTGGGTGCAGCAGTTGTATTGGGCTCGCTTTGGTTGATTTGTGACGCAATGGCCACGAACCAAATCATTTGCCAGATGCATTTTGCATTGGTCTTGCAAGGAAGCAACTCATTGACAACACAGAGAAGGATGCGGAGCTGTCTGCTGATCCCGCTTGGCCTGAGCTGAAGGCAACATTGGAAAAATATGTATAATTGAAGGCATTTGAGCTAAGGGCCGCCTTACATTTTTCAAGTTCACTTGGACAAACCTGGTCTTGGACACATCTCAGTATTGTTTAGTTCTGTTGGAACTCAAAGGTAAAAGCGCAGTACTTCTGACGATTCAGTCGTTGGTGATTCACAGTAGCACAACGTCGTCACTTCTTCTTCATAACGTGACCGATATCTTCCTCTTCATAAAGACTCATCAAAGATGACACATCCCGAAACCATATGACACTGCTCAATCGAATTCAGCTGATCCGAGCCCGAGCTCGAAGTGATCGGCTCCAACTGCTTGAACAACGGCCATACGGCCCGAGCTGGAGAGCATCAAGAGCACGAGTCCAGGTGTCACTTGACTGAGGACACTAGGATAAGACAGGACAAGTACTACTTTTGACATGGGGATGTCTTCAGAAAAAGACATTGGGATGTCTTCCCCAATTCGAGAGAATCTCTTAACATGTCTTTTCAAGCATCAACAATGTGGATGATGAAGAGAACAATCTTGGGGAGATGAGGTCCAGTCTTGGAGACACACCCACGCGTCTTAGCTGTCCTAGCTGTCCTGCAAGCACAGCCTGGATTTGACCGGAACTGTGACAAAAGAAGTCGCCTGCAGAATTGTGTGGTGGACATTTTTCTACAGGGAGCAAAGACCTTGTGTCCTGATGTCATTTTATGTGTCCACCGTGAACAGCTGCTGCGGTCCTTCACATAGTCCATTTGGTTGACAGATGAATTTTGGTTCTATTGTATTTTGATCTGGGTGAATTTGCATCAAGCGACAACTCGCCATGCGTGTCGAATGAGCCACGTCACCTGTCATGTACTCTGTGGACAAGCCTTTGATTTGGTGCTGCCTGTTTTGATGTCATTCTTTTATTCATTTCAGGAGGTTTGGTAAGGCCAATACATCATAAGTTCGGAAGTTGTTCATTGCTTCGAGACTACCCTAGCCAAACGAGGTTGTGTAAGAAACCCTGCCGCCTATAAATAGGTTCCGGAATGTCTGAACACCTGAAAAACGATAAGAGTAAAAAACATGATACCGTGATATGTCATTTCCTGGCTGTGTGTTTGCTCCATGAGTGGCATCGAGTTTAGCTTCTCAGAACGACAACAATGTTGCTTGAGGGCTCTACACTACTTGATCAAAAACCCATACGTTTCTTTACCTTCTTGGCTCCTTTGAACATCACCGTGCGTGACTTCTTGGATTCTCGTTCAGTATGCTGCTTGCCCATGGAAGAGCAATGATCATGAACTCTGTCGAACATCTTGTCACTTCTTGACCAGGCTGGCTGAGCCAACGGCCGCAGAAGGTGGTCATCTGAGCGCAGTGAGATGATCAGTGCCGAAGGTGAAGGGCCCGAAGGCAGGTCAGGCCACACCGACGCCGGTCTTTTGGCCTTTTGCCGAAGGCAACTTGGCAGGCTTGGGCCATAAGCGCTCGCCTTCAGCTCCTCAGGAGTTTCCAAGAAGTTTCAGAAAGCCGCATGGAACAGAGAGAAATGTATATGTTTCATTGAAATGCTCAAGCTATAGCCGGTAGCTGACATTCTTCAAACATAAGATGATGTCTTGTCATTTCAAGGTCGAACCATAATCTCCGTCCAGCAGAGGGTGCCGGGAAAATGTGGTAGCCTGTTAACGCCATCACGTGTCGAACAAATTGTTATGGCAGGTCCATGGTTGCCGACAACACGGAGAACTTTCTCGAGGCTCATTGAGCACTCCCTTAAGAATCATCATATTTTGACGAGTCTTGTCTTTGAGATTGGTTCCTGTCCTGCATTGCAGAGTCCGGCAGAGTCCGGCAGAGGTGTGTTTGTTTCATTGAAAAATCAAGTGCGAACAACGACTCTGCGATGTCCTTAGGTGAGATGTCACAAGGTCTTGATCTGCGATCCTCGGGACTGCTTGGTGGGATCGGCGGTTTGCGCTTTGCTCCTTTTGGGACGGAAGATCGACCTCAGGAACTGTCTCAATTGAAAGAACCTTTATACTTCAATATATATATATAGACATCCCGCATTTCGTTGCATGGAGTGATGAGTTCAGAACCTTTTCATGCGGAACTGCATCCCTAGTACTTCTCCAGGATCAGATGATCCTGGACCCTGCCGCTTTGCGAACCGAGGCAACTGCAGTGCATGTAAAGCAGGATGAAAGAGCATTGTGAAAAGACACACAACATTTAAAGATCATGTAACATCATGTAACAAGATGCAGAGTGCAGACCCGGACTGAATTTCAACTCGCTGGCTCCGCCGAATGGGATCGACTCCAGGTCGCCTTGAAGGTCCTGGAGCGGCTTTCTCCAGAGGAGTGAAATCGACGTGCCAAGCGACCAAGTGACAGCTCGTTTGGTGATTTAAAAGGGAACCACCTGGCAACCTCATATCTATCTATTTATCTATCTGTCTGTCTGTCTGTCTATCTATCTGAATATGTGAAGAGGTGGCTGAGAGAACCAAAATGCAGATCACGAGGGCAATTTGGGACCACAGGGACAAGTGACCAGTCCTAGTGGATTTGCGTGGTACGTGACAATCAGTGGGGGGTGGCTAGGCCTTCCCGACGTTCAGCGGTTGAGAACAAACAACCAAACGCGACGACGCAAGGTTCTAATTTGGCAGGAGCGAATCAATGTAGATGATACCACCTTGAAGGCTTTTGAAGAGGCATCTGGGATGCGATGCAAGAGGAAAGGAACTTGAAAGCAGAGAGACTTTCTTCTTTCGTGTGATTGGAGGGATGCTTGAAATGAACTTGTAGATCTAGTTCAGCCTCTTCTGTGCTTCTTCTTTGTACGGTTCTGAAGCGATTCTAAGGAATCAGATTTGACACTGCGCTGCATAGTCTGGGAAGTGGCCGCTTCCACAAACGAGACATTCTAACACATTCTAGTCAACGATTGCACAGACCCAACTACTCCTCATGAGCCAACAGGCTTGGCGCTTCTTCGATGTGCTTTTCTCTCTGCGAGAGGGTGAGGAGGACTATCTGCTGACAAGAGCTGATGCATGTTAGTGTTGAGATGGTGCTAACTTGCAATGCAAGGTCAAAACATAAGTGTATCTATACAATATAAACATTAGTAGTTGATAGTAGCTGAATTTTCAGGTGTTTTACAGCAAGCAACTAACCACATTTTGAAGATGCACATATTGATGTTGGATCCTAATGGCGGCCAAAGGCAAATGCTATGCCGAGGAAACTTAGTCTGTGGTCATACTTTGCAGGATGATGATTTTTGCGGCAGGTGGAGCAAGGGAGAAGTATCGGATAATGTTCTGATCTGGCGTTTGCTAAAAGAACTGGCTCATTTGACTCCAACTCTTATTGTTTCAAATGGACGTTTGACAGGACCTGCGGTTTGTAGTGTTGTTTGGTTGAGTCATGCAATGCTCTCACAGTAACACATATTGTCGATAGGTTCTGCAAAGTACGGATTCCGAACTAGATTTGGACTAAGAACTTTCTTTCGGCTTTTCCCGGCGAGGACGGAAGGCTCAGATCGACCGTCGAGTGTTCGCACCGGATCTCCGTCAGTTGCTTCTCGTTCGGGTTCCCGTGTGAGGTCACGCCAGTTAGCAGCTGCTGATTCACGACCCGAGGCCCCTTTTGGAGATGGCAGATTCGTTTCGCACGGTCCTGAAAGAGTGCAATACATCAGAAAAGAACATTGAATGCGCAGTGTTTTCATCCGCGGAAGTTGAGAAATATGTACTGAATGAAGGTTGTGAGGGCTTCTTCTTCGATGTTGAAGGAGCAAGCTCTGCAGTTTGACGCAACAGAAGACAGAGCTTTGAGTGGGCGATGCTTTCCCAAGTATACTGTAGACTGAGGAAACTTGAGGAAACCCAAACCAGATATATACTAGTACTGTAACTAAGGGCATCGCTATTAGTAACAAGCGCATCGCTACTAGTAGCAAGAAGCTATTAAGTTTCACTAAAAATCTAGGAACCAAATCATTAGTGTGAGCGTGAGCTATCCTGCGTCCTAAGCAGTACCTTCTTAAGCTACTAGCTACCTCTTTCACTAGCTACCTAGCTACTACCTCTACGGCCTACCCCCCTTTAAAGAATCGTTTGTTTTTCTTCCCAACATGTGAATTGGGACATCCCATTTGTGAAACGGCCACCAGCTCAACTGCTCACGTGCGTCCTCGTCAGGCTCGAAGCAAGGCCCAGCTCTCGAAAGAGGGAACGGGCGTTCAGCGTTTTCGCATACATGAAGCTTTGAGCCACTCTCAAATACTCTTTACTCATATAGCACAGGTGTGCCGTTGACAAACAAGCTTGAGGATTCCATCCTGATGATGTAAGCCGATGTGCACAACATTTGTGTGGTTTTGTCGTTCTCATGCATTCATTTGCCAATACTTCTCAAAGACTTGGATTCCAAACCAACCCGGTGAGCTGCCTTTGCCCTGGGTGCCTCATTTTTCTCCAAAGTGCCAGATGGTGCATAGCATGAAACACAACCAGGTGGAGCATAGATCGATGTGAAGGACCTTAGCACAATTTCCTTATTGTGCGAATTACCTCCGGTTCAGGTTGGTGTTTGGATTCTTGAAATGATGTTGCGTCTGCCAGGCGGCGGAAGAACAACCTGGACGTGCCTTGGCGGTGGTTCGGGAGTTGCTGAATGGGGGGATCGGATTTTTGATAGATTCATGGGTTGCCTGCAGCTCAAAGTCTTTGTGTCAAGCTGAGTTTCAGTAGATTCGGATAATGCCGCCCTCAACTTGTTACGATTTCCTCTTGCAATGGTGGCATCCAGAGGCATTCATTGATTGCTCAATTGCAGCCCAATGCAACTTGAATGCTTTTGCGAACACCATCTAGCAGTTTCGGTCACGGATGTCCCCTGAAACATCACCTGCATTGACCATTTGCCCATCAGAAGACAGGGAAGAAATTATCACCTCAGAGCCTCAGAGCTTTCCTTGTTATTAGTAGCAATGGCCTCCAACCTACTTGCGATGGCCTCCACCGAGCATAGCGTCCTTGTTACTAGTAGCTTCTTGTTCCTAGTAGTAAGGCCAGGAGCCCCTAATAGCGTCCTTGCTCCTAGTAGCGATGCCAGGAACCCCTAATAGCTTCTTGTTCCTAGTAGTAGGGCCAGGAACCCCTAATAGCATCCTTGTTACTCGTTTTCGTCAGTTTGTCCGCCAAACTCTTGTCCTCAAGGAACTGGTGCTTGTTCTCAAGGCGTGGGAGCAGAGCACTTGACCAGTGGTTTGGGAGCACCAGAGGTCGGTGTGAGAATCCTCAACGTGCTGGAAAACACTCACTTTCTTGACGTCTCACACATCTAAGGGAAGCATTGGTAAACAAAAGACCCGACATTTGTTGATGAAGGCATGAAGGCAGAACTTCTCAAAGGACAAGTAACCGGTAACCATCCAGTCAGATTAAACTGTGTGAATTGTCATGCCTTTTATTTGCTTGATGGAGTTTCACAGGCACACAGCAGCAATGGCACATGGACACCTCATGATAAGGGTTCCGCAGAAATGCAGACAGTCTCTAATGATTCCACTGAACATCACCAAATACATTTTGATGATGGAGGCCATCGCCGCTAGTAGGTTGGAGGCCATTGCTACTAGAAGCTCTGCATCTTTCACGTAGCAGATTCAACCCACTGGCATGAGCTTCTTCGCTGCGGGCAGCTCGGTCGAAGGGACAGATGCACTGTGTCATCACTCAGGCGGGGTGGCATGAACTTTGCGTGTACTGTATAACAATGGGGCCATCTAGGAAGTAAGGTGTGAAACAGTTCACAGCACGGAGATGCTTTTGACATGTCTTTGTTGAATTTCCCTGTTCATAGTTTAGCCAGTGGTTGGATGCCAGGCTTTTGGGGGGACTGCTGGGTGTTTGATCTATGAAACTGCTTGGCTCCTGCGAGATATTGTCTCTTTTCTCCCAGAGCTTGGAGATTTCGCATTCTCATCAGTGACATCTTGGAGTTCTTTCATGAACAGCTTGGAACTTTACATGCGTCAGAAAGGTGCCGAATTCTTGAAGCTTCATCCAGAATATGCCCAGCTGCTGCCAGATTCCTTCAGTGTTTTTTCACTCCTGATGTGGCTTTTGGCACTGTCCTTCCTCTTTGGGCACATCTTCCTGGCGCTGCGAAGCCGCCTCCGGTGCAACCCCGAAGTGTTGTTCTTCCCGGATAGCTCTGGGGTTCATGTACGGCACATTTGTCACATGCTCCGGTCTGCGCGAAGGAGGATGTGGATTGCCATGTTCACTCTCACAGATGATGTGCTGAGTCAAGAGATCTTGAATGCATGGGCACGAAATGTGGACGTGAAGGTGATCTTGGATGATGAGCAATGTCATGCCCTCGGATCGGATGCCTCCAAATTGTCCCAGTTTGGAGTGCCCTTGCTACTGGACTCGTCTCCGGCAAGGATGCACCACAAGTTCGCCGTTCTGGATGATTGCGTCTTGACTGGGAGCTTTAACTGGACAAAGCAAGCCAGTATGAGCAACTGGGAAAACTTGTGTATTCTTCGAGAGCCAGCGGCAGTGAAGCCCTTTGCACGTGAATTTCAATCTCTTTGGCATGACTTCACGAGAAGGGAGCAGAGTTTCCCAACCCGGAAGCGAGACGGGACCCCTCCCAGAAGATGAAGCGCTGAATTAGATGAGTTAGAGAATGACTATTTTAATGTCCATATGGTCTGGTCACAACAGCCAATGATATGAGATGTGAGAACTTTGTTGTACCTTTGACAGCTGGGCAATCTCAGCAAAGCTGCACTTGCCTAACTGAACCTCCAAGTTTCCCAGTGCGGAATGTGAGGAGAGCAAGAAATACTGTACCGTTCGTTCGATGTATTGTTTCATGCTCGCACACATGCCTCCCTACTTTAGGCCGTGCGGAACCCAGGTACTACCTGGACTGAGTCTGAAGTATGTGGGACCGGGACAGGAAGATCTGCAGATCGTTTGTTGGTTCTATCTCTGTTTCTGGTTTCCGGTTCGAAGGCACACAGCCGCGGATAGCCTGGCAAGTCAAACAGTTGAGGATTTTTCCCGGACTGAGCTGTACCACTCTCCGCCAGGTGAACGGATGAAAGCCTCATGGTTGGAAGATCATCCTGACGTGGTGAGACTCCTGGCACCCTGTGAAGACCAGCACAGGCCCCAGAGGCTCCAAGCGACTGGCTTCAGCCGATGTGGGTTTCCGAGGGTCCAATGAGGTTAACTTGATGAACACCTTACCTTCCACTGGAGTTGCACGGAGCAGAAGGCCTAAAGGGCCCTCACAATTGGCCCTATCTATGTAAGTAAGACAGCGGCCCAGAACCAGCGCCGGCTGCCGCGGCTGCGTGCCGCGGCTGTGCCAAGGCTCCAGCAGTTGTTGGAGCTTTGCGAGGGCATCGAAGGAGCAGGTCTGCCATGAAGAGCGTTTGTCACCCTTTGCCTCCGCAAAACGGTTGTCAAAAAATTGGCAAAGGATGCCTACCAAAGGTCAAAGATGTGAGCTGGCCAAAGTGGGGACTGGGACACCCTGTGGGTCAATGGTCCAGAGTTGACACTGACACTGCTTAATTCCAAGTTGACTCCTCTAGGCTTCTCACTTCCTGAAGCTTTGGAGGGGAAGAACTGCTGCCACTTGGTTGAATGAGAATCAGAGTCAAATTTGCTTGGAGAATTTGTTAGGTTTACATGTTGTATTCTGTTCAAGATTTTTGATGTGGCGAGAGAGGCAATTCAAGATTTTTGAAGTGGAGAGAGAGGCAATGGAATTGATTCAACACATGCAACTATGCGGATTGTACACGTTCTTATATACTACACGGGTATTGCCAGCTTGGTTCCCACAAATGGCATCAAATGGTGAGAGCTGACACGCTCACGCTGAGGCCATTCCCTACGATGCTTAATCGCCAACATGCAAGTTGGGACCCAAAGAGTCCCGCGACCGGCTTTGGTGATGGCTGGCGACACCGATGGCAGATGGAGATTGCACAAGGTATCACAAGGTCATTGAACTTCTGGAGATTCTTTTTGCCGTCACATTTGCTATTCATATTCTTCGTCCAGAGGCGTGGCGCCGCGCGGAATAAGGTGTGGGGTGCCGTGGGCAACCCTCGAGCAGAGGGCTCTGATTTCGCCCTTCTCACCTTGGGCCAGGAGTGATAGACTGGGCTGGGTTTGGAAGTATATGACATGCTCGGGACATGTTCTTCAAAGGACATACACCAGCTCTTCCAGTATATGTTGTGCTTTGCTTCGTTTTGCACCCTTCATGGCAGACCTGTGATGTTTTAGAGGAGAACCAAGAGAACAAACACAAGGCGGTTTTGTTGTTTATGGGGAGTGGCAACTACCACTCCGAGATACTCAATTTGCCAGAAGAGCGCAGAATTCTCCTGTGAGAAGCCTGCCCTCTCCTAGGAGATTCCACGGAGTTACTTGGAGATTGACCAATTTCTCTCGAAAGACTGGGACTCAGACTCATTCGATTTGGCTTTGTTGGAGTTCAGCTTTCAAGCTGCAAGACGCAAATTCAAGCGATGGATGTATGATTGGCAAGTCCCATAGAGCATTGAACTATGCGAAATCTCGCTGAACTCGCGACGGTCTGTCTTAGACATTTCTCGGGTCTACCCTTTTGCAGCCTAGTGTTGTTGTCAGTGGGGAACTCAGGACGATGTGAGCGCTCACTACGTCAGTCTGATTCCCGGAGAAGCCGATGACGCTGATGTTACTTTGGCTCCGCTTTGGAGCTTTCGAGTCTTGTGACGGGTAACCGGGTAACCTCAATCTAATAGCGATGGCCTCCAACCTAATAGCAGTTTTTGTGCTGCCAGTTCGTTTGTATTCTTTTGTACTGTGCTCAGGTGCCTCTCGCATGGAAGAGTTGATGAAGACGCTGCATCCGGAGCGGGGTTGGGACGATACTCTCGCAGCTAACAGGTAGGCTTTAGCTGTTGGAGGCCCTTACAGTTGCAAGCCTTGATGACGAGCCTTGATACCTTCATTCCCAAGTCATTCATGACTTCAGGAGAGCTTGGCTCAATATCATCGCCAGCTGGCACGGATGCGCGTCACTGTGGTTTGGCGGGAGTTCCGCCGCCGACAGAGCTTACTCCAGGGCGCCCTAGGAAATCTCCAGGTGCCACCAGGCGCGGGAACTCTCTTGCAACATGATGGAATTACCTCAGTATGCTCATTGCCAGGGTACATTCAAGGGGTCAGCGTTTAGCAGGGCGGAATGAAGACACAGCGCTTTTCATCATGCATGTTTGCAAGGCGATCTAGCTCAGCAGGACTTGGATCGTTTGGTGCGGACAGTGCCATGGCTGCTTTCGGAGCAAATTTGCCATTTTAGTTTCTGCCTTACTCACTCCACGCCAGAAGGACAAAACACTACTTTTGTCTCCCACAGTTTTGTGGAATCTTTGCTTCATTCGAAGAGAGAATTAGTTATGGTGAGCTTGGATTCACTTGCGGCACCGACCAAGCTGCAAGAAGAGGTGCTTTTACACCTGGATGAGATCGGCAGCTTTGTGGCTTTGCTGGCAAGCTTCTTCAAGTGGGGAGCCCCAAGGTAGCCGAGGTGCCCGGCGGTGCCAACACAAAGGGAGAAGAGCCCCTAGTAGCATCCTGGCTCCTAGTAGCGATGCCCGATGCCCTTTGTTACTAGTAGCGTCCTTGTTGCTAGTAAATGAAGAACTGAATGTTGTAGTGTGCAAATTGGGCTGTGACACTCTTTATGAATCTTCTTGACATAATCCCAATGAAGCATTCCTTCTATCGCTGTGCTGCATGATGTCACGATACAGCAAAATCTATCACAAACTCCTTCAAGGCAGTAGTTTTCCGTCCAACACGAAGCTAAGTTTCGGATCAAGTTCTAGGACGATTCAATATGATTTTTGATTATGTTTGATTCAGGCTGCTTTGCACTTTGCCGTTTGATCCATCAGATTAGGATTTGTGCCACTGAAGCGTCGCCCAGGTCCGTTGATTTAGCCAGCTCTGTGGACGACAGCTTGGTCGGGTCCTCATCCCAAACAGGTCCGACACTGGACTTTGTTTGAACGAAGCATCCCGAGAGGCTCAGGTAGCAGCGTTAGTTCGTGTGAAGTGGGGTAATTCGGAGCAACAGGACTACATATAAGATGTACGAATTTATCGACTGTAATTATCAAATAGACAAATAGATGCTTGGGATTTGTTTAAGGGCTTCTCCGCTGAGAGCCAGAGTTGCAGTGATTCAAGTGTGTTTGGAAGAAGGCCCCATAAACTATTGCCATCTTCATAGAAATGCCAAGTTGCTGAAGTTGTGTGTGTTCGAATCAGTTGGTGTTTGAACAATGTTGAAACTGGCACCCATTCCTTTTGCGATGTCCCTGGAGGACCAGTCGAGTCTATTGTCTTTGTCGCTTCAGGTCGGACACGAAGCACGGCCAGTGATTGACAGGCCGTACTTAGTTACTTGATGTCTAAAGCCATGGGGGCTTTCTCAGTGTTTCTCAAACTTAGAGCACTCCCTGCTTTTTTTCCATTTTTGGCAGATCGCAAGCTGGCTATGCGATGCACGTGGACTGTGGCCACAATGGACCGTTGGACGAGGCGCTTCAAGGGCCAGCTGCACGAAGCAAAAAGGACTTGTGTGTCGAGATGCTGTGCACTTTCTTCAGAACCTTCGCATCTACGCCTCTCCAAATCTCATCATGAAACCAACTTGTGCGAGACTTCTGGACTTTGGGTGAGCAAACGAGCCATGAATCTGCCAGAATGAAAAGCTCGAGATCTCCAGGTTGCCTTTGATTGAGCGTGAACAAGGTCTTGACAGGATTAAGCTGTCAACGTAGATGGTCGCAGGTGTAATATAGGACAGTTTTGATGTGAATCTCCTTTGCCTTTGCCCTTCTATGCCCGTAAGTCGTAATCGCAATATTCTTAAAGACAGTTGGTCCCACTTTTGAAGATTGTCTCCTTCAGGGATGTTTGGGATGTTTTACGTCTCTGGTGGCCCATGCCCGTCCCAGCAGTGATATCTGTCCGACAGCGACAGGTGGATCTTCGACAGCTGGAGCTCCATTTACGTGTGGCCAACTTCGGTCGCTTAGCCGTGTGAGCCGTGAGCATCCGCGAGCTACGAGTGGCCCGAGACTTCATCAGATTGCCAATGAGGATGCCTCGCCAGGCTGGCCCCAGCAACGGCTAGGCCAGTTTAGCCTATTTTCTGGTTCCCCTGGGTCGGGGTCAAATGAATGAAGATCAATTTGTAAAATCTTGTGATGCTCAATGCTCTTGGTCTATTCAACTTTGACCACACAAAGAAAGCGGATATTACATAGGATGTTCATAAGGTGATTTGGCACGTGCCACTTTTTTGCAACATGGTGAGGGAGACTCGTATGCACTTCAAGAACACACGAAGCAAGACTTCAATGAACATAGAAACAACTGAAATGACTTGTCAACCTTTGTTGTCTCACATCGGCAGCTCTCACTGAGTCCAACTGTAAACAGGCTTGATTCTTGGCCACTCGTTCGCTTGAAGCTTGACGCATTTTGATCTCGTGTTTCACCAAACCGTTAGATTTCCCAAAAACACCGGTGCGCTGTTTTTGTGTTCGGATCTGGACTTTTTGGTGTTCGCACATGGGTGCCAGGCGAAGCATCTATCACAACTGGCTTGAACATACTTGAGCGCATCACACATTCAAACACACATTGCATTGCTGCATTCATCAGGCACTATACCACGGTACCGTATAGTTGCATATGAAAGCTTTTGCCCACCGAGATTGCCTGGTATATCTTGGTGTCAATGTGTTCATGCAGGTTTTTTGCACCTGAGAAGCTGCAAGAAGTTATCCGATTTGAGACTACTGGAGATACGTTTGAGCCGTTTCGGCTGTCAACACGCACCTGCCCTCCTTTTGCCCCCAGGCGGGCAGGATCATAAGGAGCCTCGAAGAAGGTCTCTCAGCGGTTGTCCCATGCGCGGGTTGAAGCCTGGGGAGATATACCTAGATTTACTTATATAGTATTTTGGGTTGAGCAGAATTTTATATTTCTAGGACGGTCCAGTGGTCAGGTCATGACTTGTTTGGGACAAATCTGTTTCAGGGGATGTTGGAATCACTCAGAAAATCATGGCACGGAGGGACGTTTAGGAAGTCGAGAAGGGTTACTGTACTCGGAAAAGCGATGCTTGTCCAAACCTCCCTCTGTGGTCCCAACGCATCACAGATAGAGAACCAAAGGACCATAGGTTAAGGAAGATTTACGTCGACCTTTGGTCTGGCCTTTCGCGAGCATTCTCCTCGGACAATGACATGAAGCTCCTTCCTCTCCAGGCACGGGCCCATGGCACGAATCCCGGACTGCCAGGGTCACTTGAACGAGGCAGGAGGCAGTAACTGCAAGGAGCCCCAGTGCCCCCCTCTCCATTCTTTTCTCCAGAGTGTTTACTTTCTGTGCATTCTATAGCATTATATAGCATTATCATTATAGAACTCGCTACTTTACGTAACTTGTTTATATAGACACGTCTGCTTTCATATACTTGCATTTCCGCTGCAGTTTATTCCATTTTTTCCAGTTAATAAAGTTGGTTTGTTTGTTGGGTGTCGCGACATGTTTCAACCGTAGGGCTTTGACCGAGGGACGCAGAATATGATGAGAACATTTGGATCAATGGCAAGAAGGACATAATTTACTTTTTCAAACACTTTTTTTGACCTATAGAAAGACCTCAATGAGCGTAGAACGACGACTTGTCGAAGGTTGTTTCTGACATTTGCAGCCCTCAATGAGTCCGCCTCCCAGGCTTGACTCGTGGCCACTTGTTTGCTTGAAGCTTGATCCATTTTGATCTTGTGTTTCACCATGTTTCACCAAACCACTAGATGTCCGAGAAAATGACGATGCGACGGGCCTACGCACTATTGCTGAGATAGAACCCTAAAGAGAACCTTTAGAATGATTGCTTGCTTTTGGACTGCTTGACCTGGATGGAAGGGTGTATTCATGACAAGGCGAGGAAACTCCAAGAAGTCTACCGATCTGAGGCTAGTGTAGATATATTTTGATATATTTTGGATCAAGAGTTGAACACTGTTGCCGTTTCGGCTGTCAACATCTACTATAGTTGTCCTCGCTTTGCCCCAGGCGGGCAAGAACTCGGATCTACAATCGCATTCAGCACGGACTCAACTTGATCAGTGTAATGTCATGTGTCTTCAATTTCTTTTGTCAGGAGCATGGCAGGACGTCGCTTGGTTGCTCTGGATTCCTGCGGCTCTTTGTTTCTGATGCAGACGATCAAAAAGTGGTTTGCACGAATCCTGTGGTGAAGAGAAGCCGATGTAAACTGAGCATCAATACTATGAGAGTTCCTTAGAAACGGGAGAAGAATTAGAGGCATCTGCGATGCACATCAGATCGAATCTTTTTTGAGACTCCTCCATTAAGCCAGATGAAGTGTGCAGAACAGGCTTGTTGTGTGGATCGTTGCCCTCCTGCCCACAAAGATGGTGCGAACAATTTTAGCCGCCCTTTTGGTATTTGGGAGGTAGGTCCGTGCACAAACCGGTACAACCAGTTGTCAGACAATTTGTTTCTCATACCATTGGCTGGCTCAAGCACTTTTTTGCCCAACACGGAGTTTGGCGGTGTGGGTTTGCTTTTCCGAGGCTGAACCAAAGGTTTAGCCTGCAGACCGACATCACGCCTGTTCCGCCTGCTCTTTTTCCATGGCAGTCTCGGCTCGCTGGGCCATGCTGGAGCCAGCACCTCGCACCACACTCAGTCCACAAGTGCGCTTTTGGCGGGTGCCACGGGAAACAGTTCTCATTGCTCACCCGGGAGCCATGGGACTTCTCACCCAGACCGCCAGCGTACATCGGCAGCAACGCTCCTGGGGCTTGTGGCATCTAAGACCTTCGCGGCTCATGCGTAATGCACGGCAAGGCAGCGAAGGAGTCACCGCACACTGTTTCTACTGTTGGCCTTTGGCCTGAGCTTGCGGAGGTATCTGATAAGGTGATCCGAACTTATGTTGGCGTAGGCATTTGCATGGGATCTTTCTTGGCTCCTTGGCACATTTTGCCTGTTTTCCTTGACCTGAAAATTGCTGGCGGATCCGACCTTGCCTGGATTGACGGGGCAGACGTTGCCCGTCACGACGACAGCAATGTTCCTTGGGTGGCTCTTGGGCTCTCTAGGGCTGGGAAGGGCCATCGAGAGCTTCAACAAAGAACAGATCCTGGTTGGTGGTGCCTCAGGGCTTGTGCTCGTAGCACTGGCTACTGTGATCTTACCCGATTTGACGGCTGGGAATCTGATGCTCTTCACCTCGCTGCGCTTCATCTATGGGGTTCTCATGAATATCGTGGCAGTTCAATGTGTTCATGTCCAAGAAACCATGCCGGAAGGTCGGAAGAACCAGGCGGTGAGCGCGAGCATCGCCTACAGCGTAGTTGCCATTTGCTTGGCAGGTGCCTCCAGTTTAGATACTGATTGGAGGATTGAGGCGTTAGTCTGGTACGCAATCCCATTGATTTGCAGTCTTCAAATCGCCTTCCCACATTGGCCTCAAGTTCTCCAGTCCATCCCAATCTCTTTCAGTAAGAAGCTCGAGCAGCCAGCGAGTGAAGTTAAGAATCAGGAGATGGATCTGATGGATCCAGAAGATCAGCGCCATACCATTGCCTTGGCCATCAGCTTTTTGGCTTGTGGCTCTGGATTTTTTGGATCAAGCTATTCTGCAGGGCAGCTGTCTCCCAATCCCTATGAGAGCACAATGCTCCTTTCAGCAGCTGACATCCTTGGCGACATCATGGCTCTGAGCGCTGACGTTTGGGGTAGGAACAAGGTGCAGGGCTGCTGCTTTGCATTAGCCGCTGCCTGCTTGATGGTTTGCAGCGTAGGCGAACCGGGCAGCTTTGTGGTGTTGGCTTTTGCCATGCTTGGGCGCTTGTGTCTGGATGTTTGCTTCACGACCATCCGCGTGGCCGTGGCGGCGATCTTCTCGGAGTCTGCACAGACCACCATGCTGCCAGTCTGTGAGTTTGCCACTCGGCTTGGTGGAGTGCTGGCACCCTTCAGTGGAACCCTCCCCACGTCGGTCCTTTGCCCCATTTTTGCAATGGGCTGCGCGGCAGCTGCATGCACCACCATGACTCTTCCTGAGCTTGGAAGACACAAGCGCCTTTCAGAGTGAGTGGTTTGACAATATTCTTCGACAAGTGTTTAAAAGACCTGAAGGGCCAAAAAGAGATAGACCGATAGACCGAATAAAATATAGACACCATAGCTTCATGTCAACATCAAATCTTAATCTTGGAGTTGATAGTTTACTCCAATTGCGGGAAAAAAGGGGAACTAACCCCTGCTCTAGAATCTAGAATGGCCACCACGGCTATTGGTATAAACGAATGACCAGTGACCAGTGCCATTGGAGCAATATAATAATCCACAACTGTTATGGGGTGATTGCCGAGATCTCGTGCGGCTCATCAAGCACTCAAAAAAGTTGACCTGGAAAAGAGTTTAGTCAATTGTTACTAGTAGTACTAGGAATGCTCCTAGTAGCGATGCCAGGAGCCCCTAGTAGCGATGCCCTTGCTCCTAGTAGCTTCTTGCTCCGAGTTCTTGCTTTACCCGTCCGTTCACCCTTCGATCAACAAAGTCCATTTGTGAGATGACATTCCTGAGGCGTGCCAGTGGGTGGCTCCCCACAGAGCTATGCCGCCAATGTAACTTGGCAAACTGTGCTGAGGTCTTTTGCGAGTCAGAAATCCGGTTCACGCCTGCATGCGGATCATGAGACACGGATCGCCAGATAATGTCCTAACACCAACTGGCATTTGATATCACTTTGAACTTGAAGCAAAGAAACTCCATGCAAACGCTTCTTGGTTCTTCACAGTTGCTTCTGGGCGAAGTGGGTCAGACACTCCAACAGTACTGGTATGTTTTTCCAAGCCCAGAGCCACCAGTGGTGGGTCAGCAACTATAATAAGTCTAAACACCAATGGAAGAGTGTCCGAGTATCAGACGATGTTTGCCTGAAACAGCAACAGGAGTTTGACACGTGGGCCAATGGAGCACTGGGCATGAAAAGATTAGACACCAGGAACGCATGGTAGCAAACAAACCAGGGAACCAGATTCAGTTGTTATTTGTCCACCTCAAGATGTTTGAACTAATTTCTCAAGCACGCCGGAACAAGAGTTCCGTGATTGATTGCTTCTGGGTTGTGGCTATGTCTGCTCCTGATTTCACATGCCACAGTCCATTATTTTGTGACGAATTTTATCCCAAGCCTTGAGGCTGGAAATACCTTCCGGCAAGTGGCTACGGACCTGGCCAATGAGCACTGGTCTCAGATGCTTGCCTGTGGAGCTCCGCATGTTGGCGGGACTGCCAGATTGGAATGGAAGAATGAAGTGCATTGTGCCACAACTTACGTGACCCTTTGCAGGTAGACTATGACAATAAATGAAGACCACATCTGAGGAGAGTCTGTAAGCACAACATCAAATATACAACAAAACACCGAGCACAGAAAAAGAACCGCAATAACATCACAGAACAACAAACATCAATGCCAAAAGAAGCTGCCTCCCACGGACTTGTTCTATTTTTGTTTGCAGTATCTATATGTGTCATGTCATGTGTCATTCTTTTTTCGTGGTTCATTGGCTTTTGTATATTGTTCTTGGTTGTTTCTTATTTTGTCGCTTTACTCAGTGTCCTAGCAGTTTTCCTGATTCCGCTGACCACAGCCAAACTGCAAAAATGGAACCTGGGATTGCTTTGTTGCACAAGTACTACATTTATTTTCCTTCGTCATTATTTTGTGTCTTTGTTTGTTTTCTTATGCTTTTGAACAATTTAGTTCTCGCCTTTTGTTTTTGAACTGTTTAACTCATTTTTTTCTTCTTCTACCTTTGCTTTGTATCACAGAGATAGACCAGGTAGACGATTCTATTCTTGCTCCTCATGCTGACAAGGGGTGCCGTATTTTGAGATGTGCAGCTCAACTGAGGCTAGTGTCACAGCTCACACAGGAGCGGCAAAGGTCACATGCCTGGTAGTGCATAATTTGATGAACAGTGAAACCCTGCCGGCGATTGTCGAATCATCCCCTTCCAATCGTATCCAATCGTGGTCCTATTCCATGCCCTGACCCGGAGGAACATACTCGAGAGGTTACAGCCATGTATCAAGAGGCTGGCGGCGAGCTGCTGAACTGCCTGATTGGGTCTGAGTCTTCCACGGTCTTCCAACAACGACTCTTGAATAAATCAAGTATATATTTGCTAATATTTGCTATGTGTGGGGGGGATGGAGGGTGAGCTTCGGAAGTATATATGAAGTATCAGACTTGCCAGAAGATTACTCAATGGTTCGATCCCTTTCAAGGGATCACTTGCTTTCGCAATCTCTTGGCTCTTTGTAGGTGCTCGCCCTCCGGAGTGAGCTCCAACGTGTAGCAGAACTGATGCAGGCCCGTGCTGTGTCGTTGGAAACATAGGGCGTGGCTGTGAGATTCGCCACTGGAGTGTCGGTGTTGTCCCAAGTTACCATTGCTTTCGTGCACCCAGTGGCCTTGCAGAACTGATTTTGCACACCTATATAGCCTATTGGTCAGTCTTTGGACTCACCCTGCCCGACCAGGGCTACATGCAACGAGAAAGGCAACTTCATGACGCATGGCACAGAGAGGTTAGAATCTGACAGACGGCGATTTGAGATTGACCTGACACCTTTCTACACCAGAAATGCATCTGGAAAAAGTTGCTACAGGAAAGTCATCGTTGCCTCCACAGTCTCTGAATGTCGAGGTTTGCTCCATTTTGTTTGAAAACCAAGGAAATGATGGAGCAGCTCACACAAACTTATCAGGAGGTTGGCTTGGGCTAGGACATTTGCATTCCAGGGTTTTGATGAGCGTACTAGAGAGAGCGACAGAGAGAGGGGTCTCTTGATTCTTTCCGATCCGAGAAGTCGTGGACACACTGAATCATGACAGTTTGTTCCCGCTGCTGTTTACTGCAGGCTGAGGGGATGGGATTCTGAGATATGCTAGGATTCGGTAGAGAGGCGCTGCTTTTACACCTATTGAGCGCAGCAGTTAGATCCAAATAACCAGTCAGCTGCGGAGCAAAAGTGATCCGAAGCACTTCTACGACTTCTACCTAGTGCAAAAGCCACGACTGATTCGCCACCTGCCATGAGCGAAACGAGCGAAATCCTCACCGACCCGGACATAGGACGGGGGCCGAGCTTGACCATGAGAGATGAACAAGATCATCATAGGAACTGGAATGGTTTCAAGCAAGGGAACTGGAATGGTTAGGTGCTGGAATTTTCATACTTTGAGACAACCAGCTGGAACCGTTGTGGAGACCCAAGCACCAGGTTCGCCACAGAAATCCCCTAGCCCTAGCTCAAGCTCCTTGGAGCAAGATCCTGTGCCAAGATGGACAGATTGAGAGGTTGTTCATTTGTACTTGGATTTCTCTTGTCGGAGAGGCTTCAAAGCGGCTGAAAGAATATACCACCCCCTCTACTCACATATTTCGGTTCTGCTTTCTAGGAGGATAAATAGGGTCCAGGCCACAATAACCGATTTTGGTGTGCTTCTCAAACAAGACCTCAAGCGTCCTCGCACTGCCATTTTCCCTCAACAAGTCTCCACTGAGGCGAAGATGAGAACCCCTCGGGTGTGAAGGACTTTTTGCAGCGGACAGCTGCGTGGGATCCTTGCCTGAAGTAGTCAACCGGGTAGGCTTGTGGGTTCCTTGTTTTTTGCTGTGAGGCTGTGAGTGGGTGGAGAAGACCAAGTAACACCATCAGTTGAGTTTAAGCACCTCCTTGGTGGCCTGAATTCCTGTAGACACCGAGGCGAGATCACACCCGCTTAGCCAGCAAGTGAAGCGTGATGATAGTTCAAGCTCTTCAGAAAGCGATCCTGGTGTGTGGCCTAGCAGCTGTGTCGATGCCCTTTCGAAAGAGAACAGAGGACGACATTAGACGCCAAAATAGCTTCTTGTTACTAGTAGTAATGCCAGGAGCTACTATATAGTAGCTTCTTCTTGGTAGTAGTAATGCCCTTGTAACTAGTAGCGATGCCCTTTGTTACTAGGTTTGCTTGTCTTCCTTCCATCTTCCACCTTCAAAAGCCAAGATGGATAGGATCCTTGGGCTTTCATTGCTGACCCCCAGGCGTCCGCATGAAAGGGCGTGCAGCACTGCGGCGTGCTGTGAAGGCGATCGTGATGTTTGGTGGACATGAAGGGGTCTAGTAGTGTCCTTGCTCCTAGTAGTACGGCCAGGAGCCCCTAGTAGCGTCCTTGCTCCTAGTAGTGATGCCAGGAGCCCCTAGTAGCTTCTTGTTCCTAGTAGTGAATCCTTGAGTTGAAGCTCTGAGCTTGACCCATACTATCCGTTTTCCCCTCTCAACTGTGTTCATTGCTTCGCCCCTCCTTCCCTCTCTCAATGAGCGCTTTGCAATATTCACTGTAAAGCCTTTAACTTTAAGTATTGTACTTGGCATCATTAAATAAATGCTTCTAGCTGTGCGAATTGTTCCTTGAGGATTCCTCGAGGTTAATTTGAGCCTTTGTTAAACATAGAATGGAAAACCGAAATGAAAAGGGCACTCAGACACATCACGTCGCTGCAGGAGCGGAAAGCAATAGAAGAGATGCGGCGAGAGTCGATGCATGGAAAGCTGATGCAGGTTTTGACCAGCTTTTGGACGAGGTGCCCAGTGGCTACTCTTTTCTTTTCGGGTTGTCCAACTCACTTAATTGCAACTCGTGTGTTTTTGCAATTTGTAAAGTTAGATATTGATATTCGATATTTGGTGTGAACAGGGCAGGCCAGGCGCACTTTTGGACGTATGTTTTGACTCAAACACTCTTCCATCACTCCGTCGCAGGGATCAACATCCCGATTGGTCTGTGGCTGCAAAGGACATTTTGAGGAAACATGTCGATCAGATTCAAGGCCGCGAGTCAATGCGTGGATGCCAATTTGATTGATTGACAACATCAACGCCTGACGCCCACTATCCAAGGCGTCTTAAGACTTGAGCTGATTTTCTTTCCTTGCTTTCGCAGATACTTGTCGTGAAGCCAAGCGCTTGAAACACACGTGTGAAGCCTTGGCCTCTTGGCTCGGGGAATTGTTTGGTGTTTGGATGTCAACCAATCAGTCCAACCAGTTCATTGAAAGGAAGTCAGTTTAGCATGGAAAGGGAACACATGGGAAAACGCATCAGACACACATGCTAGATCATGCTAGCGGCTTGCTAGCAAGTCTTTACTCCCCTGTATGAAAGATGCATATAACACATGAGGGAACGTTCAATGCAGTAGCAGAGTAGCACTCATCCTCCTGGACATTGGCACGGTGCTGCCAGTTGAAAAACTAAGGTTCTGCTGTGTGCAGAAGATTATCAGACTAGATTGAAGAACAAAGTCGATGACGTGCAGAAGAAACAGATGTGGGTTACTCGAGCTGAATACCAATAGTTTTGCAGCTCCAGTTGCATGTGACACTGGATGCTGCTCATGTTGAAAGCACGGATACGGGTTTCTGACCATGGCGGCTCTGATGAAGCTTGTACAGAGAAGCAGGCTGCTGACGGCAATTTCTTCAAGCTGTTGACAGGGAACCTAGATCAGACCAGTAGGCTCCCTAGAGATTTGGAGGATTGCAGCATTCCTCAGATGACCTGCGAGAATCATTTGAAGCCTGGTCGATCACAGGCATAATTTCTTATTCACTTCTCGTTGTCTATGTTTTGTTGATCCCAAGGACGATTACAAGGCGCGGGCCCTGCTACAAGTCCCACAGCAGCCTCGCATCGTTCCCTACACAGGCGAGCATGTATGCCTGTTCGATTCTGTTCTGGCATGGGATCATGTATGTTCTGGCAAGCAGACATAGTGCGAGAGGGCGATGCATAGGCATAGACGCTGAGTCTTAGGTCAAAAGTGTCGTGCGGGATTGATGTCTCACCTTGCATGTTGCTCCCTCCCCTGACACCCGGAAATGGACGTTTCTACATGCACCTCAGATGGTCTTCCACCAGTGATCAAGCAGAAGTGCACGGAAACCGATCATTAAAGAGGTTGGCACGGTCCGAGTCGGTGGAAGTGCGAACGAACCGCGTCGTGACCGGCGCGGTGGAGGTTATGATCCAAAGACTGCGCAGACTCCCCGTCAAAGAAAGGCACCTGGGACTTCTGCGGCATGACAGGGCAATCTGTAGCCCATGATGTGCCTCTCACCATGGTAGCTCATGCTAGCCCATGAGAGCTCCTTCCCGATTGGAGAACCGATGTTGAAAGATACCGGAAAACTGTTGGGCTTCTTCAAAAATCCAGAAGCAACAACATGGCTCGTGTTAGTTTTCTTTCCAAAAGACGACAGATGGGCCTATCAAAACATCCCAAACACCGAGTTGCGTGTCATTTCCTTTCTCAACGACGTTTGAAGCAGCATTGCGACCAATTTTTTTGTTGTGCGGTGGCACTTTCGACTCAGGTTGTGAAGCTCCCAAAGTCTGGAGAGCGCAATCAGCCACCCTTCACCAGCAGTCCTTTGGTTTGCACATTTAATTTGAAGAGTGCATTGATCACTGCAGTGTGCTCAAGGAACTCGCGGCGCAGTAGGGCGGCTGGTGCTTCTAGATCAAGGACAACTATCTCCTCGCGGAAAATATTTGCAGGCCTTGGTATTTGCCCAAGTTTTTCAGAATTCATGCCTCCGTTTCTGCATCCTCTTGTAGACAAACACTTTCCATCAACAGGTGAGTATGATCCAATTGTTTGGGTGACAGCCTGCCAGGTTTGTACCCAACATGGGATACGACCAGCTTTGGAGCCCTTGATGGCAGGTGGGAGATGCATTTAAGGATCGATTGTTCGCTTGGTGAGACTGTGGGGTCTAATATGTCAGACGTAGAAAAGCAAACCAAAGCCTTGTGCTATCGTGGCTACACTTAAATGGACTAGTCTCGGAAGCTTCCTACATTTGAACATTTTTGGACCCTTCCGATGTCGCTCCTCCGTCGCTTTACCACGAGCTGTGCTGCTCGAGGTCAATCTAATAACTTGAGCATGGCAAATCAAAATCTGACAGATCACGATGTCCTGGCACTCCTACCAGTGATTGATGCTTGGCTTGACATAGGGGCAGGTTCGCTGGCAGGTCTTGCTGGCAGTTCATCACTGGCTCCTTTGGTTTCTAGACTATCAGAACGATGTGCCGCACATTTGTGTCATCAGTTGTAAGGCACCCTACCAATGTGTTCAACTAGTGCGGTATTTGTGCCCAGTGGCAAGCTTCATGTTGCAGGTTGTCAACCTGGTTTCCATTCCCTGCAATTCTTTGGTCTGAAAAGTACCGGAGGGGCATTTCCCAGGAAGATGCGCAGAATCTGAACGCCGTAAACTTCTCTGGGAACTCTCGACTGAGTGACACTTGGCTTAAGATTAAGACAAATCATCAGTCTGATCTTTGGGATCCTCATTTGTCCTCAGGATCAAGCGCTGATACCTTTGTCGAAAGCTTAGCGATGGAGTCCTAAGTGAAGGGAGTGGGCCACCAACAGGAAGAACGCAGCATCCCAAGTGGCACCGCAGCTACGTTAACAAGAAACAACTCAACCGGCCAAGTCACCAGCTTTTGAAGAATTGCCTCCCTTCCTTGCAGGACGTTCATGTCCTATTAGGTTGGGGACCCATTCCTATTAGGTTGGAGGCCATCCCTTCCAGGATACATCTATACAGCCAAATGTCTCGGTCGCCCGCCACAGAAAGCGGTCACCACTCGGTCTTGCCGAGGTTCCGCGCCTTCTCGACCTCGGCAGCGACGCTACGCCACTTGTCGCTGCAGGGTGTGGCCATGGGCCCGGCAGCGCAGCAGATGCTGGCAGAGCTGTGCCTTGGTCGATGTGATTGTGCAGTGTGTAGGGCACAAGATGAAAGACACTTGTTCTTGGAGGAAAGCAGGAGATCTAGTGATCCCTCAGAATTTCCTCTGCAAGAGATTCTTGCTTTTGGTGGAACCAGATCAAAGAGGATCAAAGAACCAAGATGGAAGGATGCCCTACTATGCTTACTTTTGGTTGATCGTGCTTTGGGGACACTGCTTTTTGACCGTAGGAGACTATTTGGAACCACTACTCCGGGTAAACTCGGTTCCAAAGACCATTGTAAATGTCGACAGATGTTGATAGAGTTGGATGCTTAGTCCCTGAACATAGTGCTTTACTACTTGTGAGGGCTACCAATGCCGGGGCTTTCTCCAATCGGCCCGACTTCCAGGCTCATGAGCCGTGCAGGCTTTGTGAAGCTGGCCTCGCTAGATCTCAGAGAGGCACTTTCCATGAAGGGTAGCGTATGATGGTTGGTGAAGACGCTTTTGTATGCATTTTGTCCATTTCCAACGTCTTGGAATGTCATTCAATTTTGTATCGGTTGCTGATTGCAGGTGTCACTTCAACGGAAAGGTTTCCAATCCTTGGCTCAGTCCATTGCACAACACCGCGGATTGATCCTTGCAAAATGAAGGCGAAGACGCACAACATACACATGATGTTCTTGAGGACAATTGAGTTTCATTTTGGTCCATGTTGCTTCCTTTCATGCTCTGGAGATGTTCTGTTTCTGTCAAAAAGGACGACAGAAGGTTCTTGAGTTTTGGCATTTTGGGGCTAAGGACAGACTTGAACCTCTCCAGCACGGGCTTTGTCCCCTGTGGCCCAGATGGCAAGTCATGAGCTTAACTGGTTCGATGCTTTTGGCCTTGTCTTTTTTTGACTATTATACGTGGTTGGAACGCCGCGAATACATTGCAACAATTAATGTGCAGCACAGACTCCTTTGATATATTAGAAAGCCAAGGACCTGCATTAGTTGCTTTTCTGCACTCATTATTGTGGATTAAATGAAGTCGCCAAACAAGTCATTGGGACCGTTGGTGGCTGAACATTTGCGCTTGTTGAAACAGTGTTCCGGTCATTTAGGTCCATTTTCCTTCACGCCTGTTTCACAGTTTCACGCCTGTTTCAGGTCTTGTTCAGGTTTCCCAAACTAAGTTTTCTGAGTTATAGGACGTTTCCCATATTCATTTGTCGCTTCATTTATGCAACACCCGATCAACAGTTTCTAAGGCTTGTTGATGCAGTGCCCACAATTGTCGAAGCTCGACCTGTCCTGGAACTGCTTAGATACGCCTCTCAGCTGCACTCATGATTCATCATGCCTTACCTTGCCAAGGGCCAAAAGGAGCCATGAGATGGTCAAAGACAGAGAAAACACCAAAACATCCTCGTTGTCCCAGAGATCCATCCCGTCATACACTTAATGAACTCGTACCGCGAAGCAAAGGCCAGCGCTACTACAGCTGGGTCAAGCATTGTCTTCACGTCGTGCTTTGCAGCATTTGAACTTGGCCGCTGCAGCACGAAGGCTTGGTGGAAATTGCTGAAGCCTGCTACTTGCCCTCACCCTTACTTAATTAAGTAGTCGCCTACTCTATTAAGTAAGGGCTAAACAAACTGCTATATAGGTATATACAACCTGCTACTGACGAACGGACGCAGGATAGCTCACGCTTCTTCAAGGAAGCTCCGCCGCCTCAGTTGAAGATTCGCTCGCACTATAAATTTGGTTCCTAGATTCATTTCGTACCCCTCGTCACCTAGACTTGACTGGTGGAGTGTTAATCTGGTTGGGGCGCATGAGTTCAAGGGAAAGTACACAAATTGTGCTGTAACTATCTAGAACTCATCAGTTCTTTGCTCTAATTTAAAAAACATTGTCACGATCATTGCAATATGCTAAAACCTCTTTGTGGTTACTCAGGGATGTTGGCTTCCAACTCCTGCACTTGTAGCCTTTGATCAGGTCCTCGACCGACCGGGATTTGCCTATTGAGCACTTTCTTGATGCTTGGCCAGGTAAAGTCACAAATTGCTTTGATCGAAACGGATCACTCTAAGAAGCCAGAAACCGTGCATGGCCACCAGATTGAACGAACTTTCATTCCAAGCACCTGCCCAAACATGGCCAGAAGGGAAGAGGAGGGCAGGTAGTACAGGTCCCTTCAGGCTCTAGTTGTTTTCTGTGTCACACTGTCACACTGAGGAGTTGCTTGCTATGAACCGTGCGCTGCTGCAGTTGGACATCTCGATGAATCTTGTACTGTGCATGGTTGGTGTTGGAGTCTCTAGTTGACCCAGCTGAAAGCTTTGGAGGTCCATCGCAGGTGTTTGGAGATCCCCTACAGATCATGTGAGCTCGCTGAGGAATCATATGGACTATCGTGCTGCTTTGATTTTAGAGGATGCCTTAGCGACTTGGCTGTAAGCACTCTCAGAACCTCTGGACATGCGGATACTGTAGAGCAAGGTCAGGGAGAGCAGAACTTTTGTCAAGAACATGTAGCAGTTGAAGCTCTCAGGCAGACAGGCTCTTAAACCCGGGGGTTTCTTGTCCTGTCTTTGTGCATGCCCAGGAGCGAACTTGCATCCGCACTTTGAGCTTAAAAGACAATCCTTTGGGCCAGACTGGCTTGCGGAGCATCCTCCGACTCCTGTGCGGTAAAGAGGCCATGTTTGCTGAGTACCAGAGCGGGAATATGCACAATATCACACACGCATACTTGGTGACAAGGGGATCACATGTCAACCTGTCATAGAATGTTGAACTATGTTTTTGGTTTTGTCACCTGTTATACAATGTGAATTGCACTTTGGTTGGCACCAGTGTGTTCCTCTAGGAAGGGTCAGGGTCACTTCTGCATGTTGGCAATGACCACCTTTGCAGTCTGGGCTATGCTTCTTGTCGATGAGCGGCTGCTACCGGGGAGGGGCTGAAAAGGAAGCAAAGATTTTCAACTTTGTGAATCCCAGCGCCTTGGCCGTCCCGGCAGAGAAAAAGAGCCGAATGGGGGGCAGAGTCTTATGAATTCTGATGGAATCCAACAACTGTTTTGTACAACTGTTCGAAGAGCAAGACTAGTCTTTGGGGAACGTGCTACCGGGGGGGTGGTTTGATGCTGAGGTGGCCGCTATGAGTTGGACTTGACGAGTCCATATGACCGCAGCTTGCTGCGAATGCTCTACAAGAAGTGCGAGAGGATAGGCGCGATGGGTCGTTGTCGTCGTTGTTGTCATGGTGGTGGTGGCGGCGGTAGCAGTATGTGGCGGTGGTGGTAGGTGTAGTAGTGGAGGTGATGATTTTTTTTTTGATGGAGCAGGGAAAGGGACACAAAAAAGGACGTGCAAATATTGCAAGGCCACGTGACCGGCATATCTTGCACCAGCTACCCCTCATGAGCCATCTTGAAGGAGGGGGGTACCCCGCGCATGTTACGAGCATGTAACGGAAAAGGTGAATGTTTGAACCCAATGTTTTGGAAAAAGTCGAAAAATACTACTAGTAACAAGAAGCTACTAGTAGCTCCTGGCCTCGCTACTAGGTGCAAGAACGTTACTAGGGGCTCCTGGGATCGCTACTAGGAGCAAGAACACTACTAGTACATTATGTATTTTTTCTTCTGAAAAACTTTTGCACATCTTCTTGTCGTGCAAGATCTGAAAAAGAAAACCGGTCTTTGCGAGGTTTTTGACCCCTCCGTTTTGGCCCTAGCACGCCTGAAATCCTTCTTGCCAGTGGCAGGGAGGGATTACTCGCACTATACCCGCACTAGGTCTACAGTCTACACTAAGTCTACACCTGGTCGGCGGCAGGGGACCCGACCCGTGTTACCCTAGCGGGTAGACGTGCGAGGGCCAAACCCTCTGGCCCAATTACATATTTTCGTCTACTTACAGGAACTACTCTGAGATGTCTGTTGACCCCTCTTTCACAGTGAAAGAATGACGCACCTAAACTCAATAGTAGCTGCGACCGCCTAATGGGAAAACTGCCTTTCCAAATTCCAGAGCCCCACATACAAGTAAGGCTTACTGTTGGGTAGACACGGCGGGGTGGTTTGCAGCTTGGCGATGTCCAGGAGTGCCACAAGTTTTTGGCCACGAAAGCACCCTGGAAATATCCACTGAACTCTTGCGGAGCCAGTGAGGCATCATTTAAAGGAACAGCATTGAACAACATTGACGGAAACAAACCCAATGATATGATTTCTTGTGAAAAGACCAAACTGCCACAGGTCAAGCAGCCACTTCGGCATTTCAGGAGGTCTCCTTCAAGGGGCCATTCCATCACCCGGAGAAGAAAGACGGGAGATATCAGGTGCAGCACTGTTGGTCTAGTTGTTGAATGTCACCTTTGACTGTCAGTTTTTTCTTCCCGCTTGCCTGTTGATTGTCGGCTTGTGGTCGCTCATAGTGTTCTGGTGAGGCAAATTATGTGCCAGCTTATTTGAGATTAGCAAGTGGCCGTCACAACCAAGACTAGAGTTGACACTGCACCTAGAATAATTCGAGAAACAACGAGAAGTAGATTTTGATCGTATGCTTCAGGCGACATCCGTAGGGCATGTCATGATCAGACATGATGAATCTGGCAGAGAATGAACGTTGGTGAGACAGAAAGGGAATGATGAATTCCTGCAGTGACATGCAACAGGTGCCAGAAACTGGACGCTTAAACTTTACCTTTGCTTGTGACTGGCGCTTCAACGATGAAGAATGCTGGAACTATGGCCGGGCCATTCATTTGACACTTGGTTTGCTTTTGTTCTAGCGCTTAGCGCTTCGGATGGTTGAGTCCTCTTCGGAATAAGAAACAATTGGTTGAACACCTTGGACATGTGAGCACCAAAGCACTGAAACATGTTAGCAGACTGACCTCAGCATTGAGATTCTTCCTTGACACTGAGGAACTGGACCTCTCATCGCTTCTTCCCGAGGATCCACAAGACAGCGCAGCTCTTGCACCAGTGGCGCCTTGCAACGGATGACCCGGAGACACAGACCACCATCTTGGAGGTGCAGAAAGTGAAAACTCAAGCGAGACGGCTGACTGGGAAGAGTGGACGCCATTCAGAAGATGTGAGGGTTAACTACTGCCAACTCTCCTGAACTTCCCATCGTGAATCTAAACTGGCTGAGAAATCATGAATGAACAAGTTTTTGCAACGGATTCTGATGTTGATGGAAGACAATCACAAAATGAAGATCTTACAAGTACTGTTCTTTTGCGGGGCTGCAGGTCCTTGGCAAGGACTTCGTGGTCTCTTCTGCTCTTTTGCGCGAGATGTGCGCGCTCCAGCCGGACCAGCTCCCTGCGGTACTGTTGCTAAGTTTGCACTGAGTTTGCTCTGAGCAGTCGCATGTCGTATGTCGCAAAGGCTTTGGACGAGTCATGCCTAAGACAAGTCCACCGAGGAACAAGCTGATGCACTGTGTGAATGGCGGTATTTCGTCGCAGTACTTGGCGATGATGTGCTTCAGCGCAGATAGAAGATGACACAAGAACCAAGAGGGGTGCTTCTGTCACACCAAAGAAAGACAAGGAACATTGGAACATCAGGAATTCACAGAGAGAATGTAAAAGTAAAGCAAAAATACAAAGAGCCATGCAGTCATGCATGCTTGCTTCTTTCCTTGTAACACCTGAGGATGGCTCCAACGGTAAAGACTTACTTGCGAGTTGTGGACTCGGTGAAAAAATTGCTTCTTGGAAGCCATGTAGTAGATTTGTTCAGCGTGTCTAGCACAAGTATATTGCCAAAATGCAGCTGGGAAACTATCTGAGCTGGCGATGCACTCAGCAATTTAGCTGTGGGTCAGAGCGTTTCGATCAACCCACAACATTGTGCTTCGTCAGTGTTGGGCAACATTGTTCTTCAGCTTCTAAATCTAGTTGAAGTGGTCAAGGGCACAAAAAGAAACAAATCACTTCTAGATGATCTAGATGCTTTACAGTGCGCTCCCAAGGATCTCCTGGACACCTGAGAATCCCACAGGAAACTACTACTTGGATCTGGCGAATCCAGCGGATTTCGCGCTGTCGGAGCAAATTCTGGTGCTCAATCACTGGGAGATCATGAGTCTGGGACGAAGACGGTTGTTGAAGAGAAGTGTTCGAGGTTTCTTGTTGTTGAGGCCTTGGGGTCGTCGTTGTTCTTTTTCTCACCTTCTTTGAGAAAGCCCGAGCCGGCAGCACAAGGATTGAAGAGAACTTGGGCTACGTTGACAGCTCGCAGTATGGCAACCAGTGCCATTTGCGAAACATGTGTTACGCCGGCCGGAAGCTGCCATTCCAGGAGAAGAGACCATGCTGTCAAGTTGGAGTCATTCAAGTAAATAGCTCAAGAATGATAAGAACGATGCCATAGAAATACAGGTATAGTATGTGGAGAATCGTTTCTGTGTTGGGTTTGGTTTCGTGTGTCTACTGACTCTTGCCCGTTCCAAGTGTCCCTTTGTCCCTTCCTGGAGCTGGCCAAACATTCACAACCAACGATGAGACATTGACCTGGACCTGGCAACTTATTACTTCTATCAAGTAGCCAAAATCTCTCACGATGGACATAAAGCGCCCAGCGCCTTCAGGACGTAAAGCAGTTCATTTTGCCCATGTCTGATAGCTTCAGCTTTGACTACGTCAGCTGCAAGAGGCCCAATGGCACGGAACCAACCTTGGCTCCTTGTCAGTAGCTCTAAGTGCTTTTTCTTTGCAGGGGGAACACAATGCTTTTATAGCTGTAGCTCAGTGATTTTTTATGAGGTAGGTTATTTTTGATTGTTTTTGCATGAGCAAAGACTCAAGTTCTCCTCATTTGCAGGCACCTAAATACTTTGGATAGACAGGAAGAGATACATTTGGCCTTTGTGGCCTTTGTGTCCAAGGATGTTGATGAATTTCAGAAATTTCTGAAATCCTTGGCAAGGCAAGGACGGACCCCGAGCACCCCACCCGCCAAACCCGAAAGATGGGGATTGGATGCTTTCATCCCAATGATTTGCAAGATGAAGAGGGCAAACTATGGCAAACGTTTTTTGCGGTGAGATGTTCGACTGTTCGACGAACGCATCTTCTTTGAGCTTTGCTTTGCTTCGATGAGTTCAAACCAACCCGATCAACATGTAACTCTATAGGTCGAGCCTCACGGATTTCGTTGGATTTTGGGGCTCCACAGGATACTATTTATGATATTTCGGTTACTAGTAGCTTCTTGTTACTTTAGTAGTAATGCCCTTGTTACTAGCAGCGATGCCCTTGTTTCTAGTAGCTTCTTGCTACTACTAGTAGTAATGCCCTTGTTACTATTCATGTTCCATATTTCCACAATGTTCCCATGTGAACTCTTGTCTCCTCAAGGCGAAACAGTCTCGATACCAAGCTGCGACTCCAAGTGCTGCGCAGTGTCGGGTGGCTACTGTACCTCAAGGCCGAGGTATGTGTTTGTTGATTGATTTTTTCAAATGCAGAGCTTGCGGTATATAACTTGTGTTTTCTGAAAAAAGATGTGCAAAGATGCCCAGATCCTACGTATTTGCATCATGGTCCAAGATGCTGCTGGTGCTGACATGGTTTGGGGACATGTGTTCACTCACTCTTGCGAGGGCTGTCTTCTGTGTAGAGTAGCTGACCAGGAGCTTGTTTGTAAATTGGTAGCCAAGCAAGTTCATCATAGGATATCATAGGTCCATAGTCTTGGCATTGTTTTCTATTTACTTTGAAAAGACTGGCGGCTCAGTGTTCTCCAGGCGTATCAGCTGCGCCTCCTCTTGGGCATCTTCGAGGTAGGGCATGTTGTCCGGTACTTGTGGAGATGAGGAACGCCATGCCAAACCTACTGTAGGTGTTTATCCGAAGGAGAAAGGAATAGGATGGAATAGGTGTTTATCCGAAGGAGAAAGGAAGAAAGCTGGAAGACAAGCCAAAGAGCACAAACGAATTGTTGTTTGCCGACCTTGTGAAGTGCCCAACACATCTTGAGGATGAATTCCGATCCATCTGTGCAGCGACCTGGATGAGATGAGCGGCACCAATGTGAATTCCATGGAATTCCCCAAAGTTTGCTTCCATAACAGTTAAGCAGGGTTGAAGGTACAGCCAATCGTCATCGACTCCTGAGAGAAAAGCATGAGAAATGTCATTTGGAAGTCAAGGAGACTTGCAGCACCCTTTAGGCATATAGGGCTGGCATCTCACCATTGACAGGCAAAGTTTTACGATTCTGGATATTCTGGGAGCCCCATGTTCTTCAACCCTGCCCCCTTTATGCCCCCCTTCGCTTCTTATACTTTGCTGCTCTGCCCATGTAAATGTATCGCCAAGGCCAGCCTTTTGTTCCGTGTGGTGGACATGCAAAATGAAAAGATCTTCCGTGGCTGGACGATGGGATTCGTTGGAGTCGAAGAACATTTTTATATTGTACGGCACCACCAGGAATTTGTGTGGGCTCAGAAATGGATGACAGCAGCAGCAGCAGCAGCAGCAGCAGCAGCAGCAAGGATTTAGTGCATGTTGCCACAAAAGGCACAGGGCACCACAATGATGGTCCCCCCAATACATTTTAGAACTGTTTCCTGGCCCAGAGGTGCATTGTCGGGAACGGTGAGAGCTGTTGTTGCGCCATTTTCAACTTTCAACATTGTCATCGATTGAGAAGGCCATACCAACCAATTAGATATTAGTACAGACACAATTTCTCAGACATTCCGGACATCTCCACATTGTCACAAAGATCATTCCGGGGATTTTGCAAAGGTCTATCGGCAAACACGGCATGACCTGGACTGACAGGTTGCGCGTTTGATGCAACCCAGTTCAGCCTGCTTCAGAAGAGCACCTTGGTATCACCGAGCTCCGGTAGAAGGTTCGGTGAGTTAGAGGTGCTGATGCATGCTTCTATATATATATATATACATTTTCAGAACACAAAACAACCCACAGTACTCTTTTCTTCCCGACTCTCGTTAAGTATGCGCCGTATACTCTTCGTGAGCAGAAACTTCTATCCAATGAGATCATCGTTGCTCACGGCTTTTAAGGGGGAATCAGAATGACAGAATGTGAACTGATTTTCCCAGCCGTTGCATAGGGGTTGCTGGGGAGCTCCAAAACTTTATGCATTGCCAACCATGGATTCTTGTACCCACGCGTAGCGTAGCAGACAAGCTTGATCAAATCAGCTTGCCCTACTCATTACATGTTTCCCTCAGCACTCTGAATCAGGTGTGGGTTATTTGGCATGTTTTCCTTACATCCAGCCAGAGCAGTGGACGGCTGCTTGGCTGTGCATGGTGTGGGGATGACGTCTGAGATTCTGCTTCGATCTTCCTTTTTTGCCCGCTCCCTCTAGTAGCGATGCACTTATGACTACTAGCTTCTTGCTACTTAGTAGCGATGCACCTGTTCCTAGTAGGACTTTCCCACAGGAAAGTTAATGTTCACGATAGATCCGATTCCACCCTCTCTCTCAGAAGATCCTGCTGTTATATCTACCTTGGTCATTGGTTTGAATTTGGCACAAGACCGTTGGCTGTTTTCAAAAATATGCTCTTTCGGCTTTCGCCCAGAGTGCATTTTGAGCTTAGGGATTGTTTTGCTGGGATATTGGATGAAGGTGTATCAGCTTAGTTGGCGGGCACTGCTTAACGTGTCAGGAAACCTTTCCAAAGCTTTCATCGTTTTCAGGATCCAAATGACCCCCGCCCCAAGTCTCAAGCATCTTCCATTTTGGGCTCGCAGCCACCCCGAGTTCAGATTCGTCATGATTCGTCCCCTCACTTGGCTCAATGTTTGGCAACCAACATGACCAAGGCCGAAATATCTCAAAGTATCATCTTCATTTATAGTCATTTCATCTATTTCATCTACAATCAATCCTGCTTGGTTAGGTTCCGCTAGTTTGCGATGCGAACTGAGGTAGACCTGGATCTGACACAATATGACCAGCGTCGCGTGGTGCAGTGCCTCTGGACCTTGGCCGAGAAGGAGCGCATGGACAATCTCACGCAGATTGTTCCTTGACATTGCAGCTGAACGGTGACTGGCGCAAAGTGAGGCAAACAACAAAGATGGACTAGTCGAGACTACTGTAGTAACAAGAAGCTACTAGTAACAAGTGCATCGCTTCTAGTAACAAGTGCCACGCTAGTAGTAACAAGTTGGCTCATTGTCAGAAATCCGGTCTGTCCCCCCCGCCCACGCTTTCATCTCCTTAGGTTTACCTCTCGGCAGAGAAGGTCCAGTTGAACAATGCTGACTGGGTTCCGCCAATCTCTTGGTGCTCTGTAGAGAATGTGCCAACCTCTGGGCACATGAAGGCGGTCCAACTACTTAAGTACATGGGAAAGTGATGTTCAAGGGTTACATTGCACAACTGCAAGCTACTCGACGTCAACAGGAAGAACTTCAAATTGATTCTCATCGATTGATCGTGATGATCTCACTGACTTGCAGGTGACATATCGGGGTGGGAAGGACATTATGTCGTGGCCGACGCGAAAGAAGCTCTACGAGACTTGACTGCAAGGCGAAGGATGTCCCGTGCAACAACCGTCAACAACTTCTTGACTGGCACGGTTTTCTTCACTAAATCGAGAACCCCCCCAAGAACATCTACATGGACAGTGGGCGTAACAAAAGGAGATTGAGACAGATGGACGATGTCCCAGTTTTGGTCCATTTGTGTCACTGCTTCTCGGCCACAAAAAGAAGGCATGTTGTCTCTAAGACCTTAAGGACCTGTGTGACCTTGGCTTTACTTGTGTCAAACCCAAACATATGATGAGCACACCTTGTGTTTCTCGGCGACCAAGGAGCAGTTTACCCACGGCCAGCTACAAGGCAGCAGTGCAGATGTCAATTGGTGGTCGTCGCTGAAGGAAGCTCCCAAAGAGGCCGGGTGCTGTAAGATGGGCGCTGTGACTTTAGGGCCTCAAGAGGGTCATTTTCAGGATGTGTGATGTATATTTATATATATTGATATATGATATATATATAATCTGGATGTAGAAAGGGTTGTTGAGGGTTCTTGGCTTTTCCCCTCCTATCCAAATCAGTCTTCTCTAATTCTGTCTTCAAAAGCTGTTTTGATGGCTTGGCTAGCGGGGCAAAGATGCCTCTTCACGCACGTTAGTGGCTTCTTGCACAGGTGGTGCAATTCCTGCAGCATCTTGACGGCAACGAAAAGGTTGAACCTGGTTTGCATTCGCAATTAGCGAGTGAGTGAGTGCACGCTCGTGTTTATCATCGTGACAAGCTACTGTACAGGTTTGACCCGAAGCTTACTTGGCACAAAGCACAGAAGCGCACGCAAGCACAGTTGCTTTTCCAAGGCTCTTGCTGCGGAGGTTTAAGGATTTCGACCAGGCCACATGCAGGGAGCTGCTTGTTTTCTACCGTCAAGGTGTTGCAGGTCAGTACAAACAAGTTTCCATTGCTGGCGCAATCAGTATCCACAATTTTTTGTACACCGTTTATATACACCGTTAACACTGTTTACACCGTTACACTGTTTACACTGTCTACACCATTTTCAGCCCACCTATTGTCACGTCAGGCACTCAGAAAGTTGACCGCGCTCATTTTGATCAGAAGGACCTTAACATAAGTGCCTGTAATCAAGAATGGGCACGGTGCTGATAAGAAAAGGAGATGTAGTGACAGGATGAATCTCAGTGGATCGTATGCACCGTCTACACCGCTACACCGTTTACACCGATTACACCGTTGACACCGAATACACCCTTTACACCGTTACACCGTTTACCCGGATCACAGCGTTTACACAGGACAATCAGCGTATCCAGTGCAACCAGTGTAATCAGTGTTTTTACAGCGTAAACGGCGAAATCCGCGAAATCCGCGTAGTCAGCGAAACCAGCACGACCGCCACTGCCAGCGTAGCGGACAATCGTTCGCGGACACGCTTTGCCATGCTGATTCTCAACGTTTCTTGCAGAATGGTTTATGAAATACGATCAAAGCACGCATTCCTTTACTTCGACAGGCCTTTACTTTCATCGACGGAGTGAAAGGTAATGGCGTGATTAACCTCAAGGAGTTGACGGCAGCTTGCTCAGCTCGTAGTGACTATGTAGTGAAGTCGTGCACATTTTGGACTTGCGGAACCCCCAGGGCAAACTTCACCTGACAATCTCCAAGACATACACGATTATATGCCATTTTTTCTGGACCAAGGAACGTGTGCAGCGGATGGGCTACAAAGAATTCCAAGGTGTTTGTCTGCAGTGAAGCAAGATTGCACGTTTTGGCGCCTACAAACATGTGAGAAGTAGCAAGAATTCGGTGGCCTAGTCAGAAGCTTGAGAGTTGGAACAATTTAGGTTGCAACGTAATTCAAGCAGCCAAGAAAATGGGCAAATGCGTGAGCTATCTATCCTGAGCATAGATGCCGGGACACCTCACTGCTTAGACGGCCTTCTGCAGGCGCCGCGGCTGTGCCACTGATTCAGAAAGTCTTCCGCTTCTTGGACCCTGACAACAGCGGAAGCATCTCGCGCAAGGTGAACGGGAGATGGGGTGGAGCGGTTAAACATGTTTCCAAACATATCAATTAACCACCATAATTTTACTATTTGCTCAGTTGATGTTTCAATTAACTATATTATATATATATACTTGTATTCTACAACGGATATGTGAGGCCTCAAAGCATGCTGTGATTTTGGCTGACACTTCTGAGTGCGCTGCCTTTCCAGGAGTGGTCAACCATGTCGGACTTGCAAAAGGAAGTGCTCCAGCAGTTAGAGGAATTTGCAATTTTTCTCCATAGCTTCCTGGCAGGCAGCAAAGTGCGCATGGATTAAGTGAAACGCAGGAGTCATGTTTTGCTGTGATGTGCACAGATTTAGCATCTGATCGGTATTTGCTTGGAGCCATTTTTCATCCTCCACGAAGGTCGCTTAAGCAGAGAATCATGGAGAGACCTTGTCATTGTCCATTACCTGCTCATGTACCCACACTCCTAGGAATGTATCGGTGAAGCCAGTTGAGAGTGTGGGATTTAATGGGACAGCCATGTTTGCTCTCTTTTCCTAGCAGAAGTGCAGCTTTCATGCGCCATCTCAGCCCCTTCAGCACGGCTTGGATGTTCCACCAAGGAGAGTTCCCCTTTGCCAGAGATGGAAAGTTGCAGAATGTTTGGCCCTTGATCGAAACTTGCCAGAATGCTCACGGGTAAGGGTTATTCCGATGAAAGGTAGCTCTTCAAAAGGAGAGCTACAGCAACCATTAAAGCAGAACCCACTGAACAGCACCCAGTTTCAGGCTCTTTGAACTATGACTCCATGTACTGTAACCTCTATTTTTGGTAATGACTTAGGGGCGTTTTGCTTCTTAACTTATATACATGTTGATCGCATCCGTTTCTTTCTCTCCCAAGCAAACAATGTGTATTAACCAGAGTTTTCACTGCGAGTTTTCGTCGAGGATCGAGGTGGCCTGGGCAAGATGCCGCGGAAGCGATTCAAAGCTGCGCTGCAAGAGGAGCTGGGCTTCTTTGGTGCTGCAGGCGGTGTGAGATGGGACATGTACAGGATGCCAAGGGGCTTCTCTTATTGGAAGAATCTATTTCACACATTTACACAATGTAAATGACATGTTTTTCGTCAAGGAGCCATTGTTTAGACCTCCATGGGGGGCTGCAACCCGTCCTCGTTGTGAGTCATTCTTGACTTGCAGCAGTGGTTTTGCCCAAGTGACCGAAATAGATTTAGGTCTTCTGACCAAAGTTCTTTATTTGGAGTTTCATCCTGTTGCAGTTACCGGCTTTGGCAGCGAAAAGAGTCGTTTCCTGGCCCGTTGCCCCCAATCTGCCAAACGAATATCCTGTTGTGGAGGTGTCCTCGCGGAGTTCTTGGATGTTGATCAAAAGGCTAGTTGGGAGTGATGGACACATGTGGGTAACAAGCAGCTTCAAGAGAGAAGGCAGTTGCTCAGCTGTTGGTGACATCACCCAGTGTACACACATATGGTCTTTGCATTCTGGAGGATGTGTGAGCTTGCATTATGTTTGATCTAGACGGACGCTTTTTGCTCCTCACTTGGATGTGCATGCATTGTTGAACTTGTTGCAAGCGGTTCATGATGCATTGTGTAGAATCCTTTTTCTTCCCGCAGTTTTGACAGGGCTTTGTCTGTGCTGAAGACTTACTGCAGTTGAGCCTTGGTCTTTCAAGCAAAAAGTGTTCAATTCCGATGGTGTTGGGGAGGATTGCTTGCATGCTTGCATGCTTAGCTCAGCCTTTTTGCAGCTTCGATGCCATGAGTACAGCGCAGATTCGCTTGCGACTAGATTCATCAAGCATCTCTTAAATTTGGTCATTGTGGGAGCCTGATTTTGAGACACGAGCTACTGTCTGGCGCGGCCTGATGGTTGATGTTGCTTGTGACCATCATCCCCTGTTCTGCCAGAATGTTATTGCACTCTAAGCTGAGGGCATTTCTTTAACAGAGTGTGCGCCTAGCACATTGTTGATAGTGGAATCAATGCACCATCAACTTTTATGTTTGCAAATGGGGATCTCTCCGTATCTATTTTGCCACTTGTACTGCACCATGTACGTTTGTTTGGGTCAACCCTGCATGTTCTTTTGTATGCACGCGCCAGCAGCATGGGTAGCACTGTAGCACTCCGACGATGTCCCATGCTGTTTGAGGAGGCGATTCACGCGAGGGCCGCGCTCCCACAGCTTCAGCGAGCTTGATCCCGAGACGATCAAGAGCGGGGTCATTCATCATTACTAGCGGAGAATATCAGACGACATCATGAGCCTTAGACCAAAGAGTTCCAAGTTGCTTTTGCTTCTGTGGCGCGATGAGGAGGCATGCATTTTGCACTTTGTGCTCCTGCCATCTTTCAATATTTAATCTAAGTGGACAAGCTTCGTTTTCAATGAGAGCGAACAAACACTACAGCAATTGGGTATACTGTTTGTATAGTTCCAGAGACCGAAATTGTTTGAGTCGTGAGTGACCATTGGAAGCAACCGTCGTGCAGGAGGGAGCCCACCCAAAGAAAAGGAGCACGAAGGAAGTCAGTGATTTGACGGGCCAAGAACTGTGAAAAGCGAATCTGCACGAAAGAATCAATTTCCAAGGCGGAGGAGAAAAGGGTCTTCCTGCAGTTCCAAAGAAATGTCCATCATATGCCGTGGCCAGCCATGGTTCTGTGGCGCCAAAAACCACTAGCAGTTACCGGTACCCTTACAGACGATCCCATCTCCTGCCAAAGTGGTCAGCAGTTTGGCTGACAGCTCTTGCAGAATTGCAAGGCTGATACTTGATACAGTTAATGGTTGGAAGGCTTTTGCCCTCATGAGCTCAAAGGGAAATGCGCACTAAAGTGCGTCTATACTTCTTTTGATCTATGTGCTTCGGATCTGGCTACATGAATATGCTCCGGGCAATGTTAATATATTTGAGAGCTGCCTGTTTTGAAGTGGTGTTATGTCATAGTGGGGTGTTAATATGTAGTCTTGTTTCCTAAGCTTCAGCTGAGTTTCCAGCGCATTTTACGTGTGGACAAAGAGCGAAGGTTCACTTCCATCTACCTTAATTGCTTTCACTTTGCACTTGCAATGCAAAACTATTTGTGATACCTTCCTCCAGATGTTTGCGAATGATCCTCGCGTTGCCACACCCTGGCTAATAATTGGTGCTTCATCCAAATGGATTGCACTCGTGTCTCCCAAAGGGCGATGAGCTAAGCTAAGGTTCAAAGACGAGCTTTGGAAAAGGATCGCTATTGCCTTTCTAAGGATAGCATGTCCTTGTCAATGAACATCTTTTGCTCAGATAAATATACGGAGAAGTGCATAGTACATTGGTACCGTAGGATGCAATGCTCCCCAATCTTTCGTTTGAACCAAGTCTTGTCCGTTTTCGGATGAATATATACCAGAATCCCAAGCTCTGACTGCTACAGTCGACCAGAGCAGTGGAATACCGGCCGAAAAGAGATACAACATTGTGCCGTAAGCTTGGTAGTAACAGGTGCCTTACTAGTAGTAACAAGTGCCACGCTAGTACAGGCCACATCTCACTTCCATGCGGCTCATGCTCAATTCAATGACCATGTGCGCAGCCCTGGTGTTCAGAGAGCTGACTAGATATCCTTTGGATTTGCGTTTGATAGGCGTAGGCCAAGGTTAAGATGCTGCAGTAAGAGTGGGATAATGGATATGATGTTTTTTTTTTTTGTCTTTTGCAGTTTGCTTTGGCATGTACTTTGATCAAGCAAGAGACATTCATTCTCTTATGTAGATGACTTGTAGAGTATCTCCTGTTGCATACCGGTTTTCTCAAACCCTGAAAAGGTGAGAGACATGATAATGAACAACCGACAAGCTGCATACAAGTCATACAGATGTCCAGCACAAGCTATGTTCAAGTACAAAGTAAGATTGAAGATGTGCTGTTCTTTCAGGCGCATAGCACTACTATGTTCGGGCTCTCAGTTGGCAACTTTGGTAAGCAGCGGAGATGAACTAATTCCTTTTTTTGGCGAGAACGCCTGTGTCACTTCTTTCCCGGTCATTGACTGTCACACACTTCTGTGAGGGACCACCATCATAATAAGGGCACTGGCACCAGGGTTTATCTCTGTGGGTCTCGTCTTGGAGGTCCAATTTAGGGATATCTCAATAATAGAGACACGGAGCAAGGACGCTACTAGGGGCTCCTGGCCTTACTACTAGTAACAATGTTCGCTATTAGAAGTTCTTCTCATGAAGTCCTTTGATTACAATGAAGCAGCTCAAAGTGCAAGGCTGCGCAGAACCAGCTCAGGTCGCATCAGCAGCAGCGGCAAGCGCTGGCAGATCCAATGCAGCGGAATCCAGAAATATCTGGAGGGCGTTCACAGATGTCTGTCAAATTAGCGCGTTTGATTTGTCAAGTTGCATTGTTGAAAATTGAAAAGGCTACTGCTTCTTGAAAAGGAGTAATTAGTAAGGATAGTCAACTCCATGATGTCCATGGGCCTTGAAGAAGCCCAGAAAGAGAACTCGTGCTTTCTCTTGAACGATGAATTCAACGCACGACTGACGTGACCCAGGCGAGATACCGAGATGGAACTGCAAAGGACCAACTGCTGTTCACTGCACAACCGCTGAATTGCTGAGACGGCAAACACAGAACGCCACATGTTACAACTCCAATGCTGAAATGCAGACACGAACCGTTTACATTAGGTTGGAGGCCATCGCTTCTAGATTCTAGATTGGAGGCCACCGCTATTAGGAGGGCGCCATCGCTATAAGACTGGAGGATGCATGTTGTCAATTCATCCGCTTCTTCGGAGACATGACGGCGTAGGTCGAAACTGTGCTGTCCTAATGCTCCGTGGCATTTTTCAGGATCAACGCTTTGCTGGCACAGCCTGCCATACCCCCACCGGAAAGCATGCCTGGATGCCTCAACTGCGATGTTTATTTTTGTTGTTCATGACAATGAAACAAACCTATGGGAAGGGCCTCCAACCCAATAGCGACAACCTAAAAACAATGTTTTAGAGTTTATTTTTGGTTGTGATGGAATCATCGGTTGAGTCAGCAATGCTAGCCACCATAACAGTGTTGGATGTGTGAGGACTCTTTTTCAGGATTGATTTGACATCAGCCAAGGTATCAGCCAGGATTGCCGAGGACGCAACGACCTGCAGCTTGGCAAAGGCAGATGAGAGTTGCTGCGAAGCCGAGTCGTGATGGAGGGTCCCTGGTCGGAGCACGTATATAGGCGCATCAAACATGACAGTCCCCTAGCCCGCGGTTCCCTCGTCTCCTGGTACACTGGTCCCCTGTTCCGGGGTGGTCCTTTTTCCCTTGTATCCATTAATTGTTTCACCTGTTCAATTTTCTTGATCCCTCACCCCCACGTGGGGTTCATGACGTTCCAAAGCTGTTGGGGCTTGGTCCATGAGAGACGGCGCCACGGCCCACGGATGCCCACGGTGTACAGTTGTAGTCACTTGAGGTCAGAAGCATGGCGCCCACTCGACAGCTGAACGTTTGAGCAGTTTCACTCAAGGCACATCGGGTCAACCCGTCTCCACGGCTTGAGGGCATAGGGCAAACGAGCTCGAGGCAGCTTTCAATTGTCAGAAGAAACGTTGTGGAAAGTCAAACGAGCTGGTCTCGATTCTGGATTTCTGTATGGTGTAGTGTAATTCTGACTTTTCAGAGGGATTTTGTGAGTCTTTTTTCATGTTGATGTGACATGATGACGTGATATATTCATGAAGCTCATGCAGAAGGACCTTTTTTTAGGCTTAATTGACTGATTGCAGGCTACAGGTTTTCGTCCGATCCTCTCATCAATCTATGAAGGACAAAAGTTTGTTTTGGCTGTGGCAGCCATTTGTGCATTTTGAGGTCACTGAGATTCAATGAGAGTCTGGTGCAAGATGTCCAAGTCCACGCTTGGAGGACGAGACATGTAGGCCAACGACCGTGCGATCGGCAAAGTCCAATACAGGACAGTGAACTTGTTCCGAAAAATGTGCCGTCTTGTCAGATGCATTGCGCAGTATGGTTTTGCCATTGATCAAATGCCGCCTCTCTTTAGTGTGTGAGTAATTAGAACGGCCTGATTCTGTTTGGCCACTGACTGCAATCGCCTTTCCTGGCTTAAGAGAGGCGCTCGTTAGTACGCTGTATGCCTCTTGCAAAGCTCGCACCGCTGCTTTCAATCTGCAAGCTTGTTTGAAGCATTTGAACACTATTTACACATGTCAGAAGACGCCTGCAGAAGGGACGTTATTCCTGGGGGTTAATACTGTATTCCATTGTAGTCTCGCTGACTTGCGAGCTTAGCAAGTGGGCTTTCATAGTGCAGTGGTGCCTGCGACTACCGTGAAGTAGTCAACGTTTCGATCGCAATGGCGTTCTTTCATACCATCTTCATTGAGATGGACGATATCATTGTTCCCGTTCCCGTAGACCGGCGCTTGGAGGATCATGTTCTGAAAGGGGCAGCTAGGCCTGATTATGTCCTGGAGACCATTGACCATTACCTTGTTTCAGCAGGTCCCTCACTTCGGACAATCCGGGTTGGAACAGTCGGAGCTCGCTTCAGAGCATGTTTGGTCGCTCGCCTTTGAGGTGGCTCCAGTTTGGTTTAAGATCGCTGGATCAGTGGACATCTCTCCAGAATTTCACAGCCCTGTCCCTCAGGTGGGAACACCGAAATCGTGCGTGTGGTGAGACTGGAGAACCGAATTTGTTAGCGCAGGGAAACATCTAGGTCACCGTCACCATGTTCAGGGTTCGGTACTTGTGCTTGCGTTTGTTTCTGGCGTGAATGTCATGTTGTGAACAACACAGGTAGTCATCACATGCTATGTTCATCGTAGTTGCATAGGTGTTGAGCCTTTGCGTAGTTGACTTTCTGAACAAACCTTTGTGTCGGCAGGCAACCAGCTCAGGGCCTTGGGCGACAGATTCGGATACTTGGCGACGTTTTCCGAGTGCCTCTTACGCGCTTCCAGCAGACAAACAAAAAGCAGGAACAACAAGAAACAGATTCGGGTACTTGGTTGACTGCTGAAAATTGCACACGAGGTGTAAGGAGGTATGCAACCAACTTGGTGACAAGTTAAGTGACTGATAAAGGTTCTTTTGCCCAAAATCATAAGGAAGGAAAGAAAGCAAGAGGGGCCATTGTGGCATGTTTTGAAAGAAAGCTGCGAAGTTGCTCATGCTGTGTTTGTCTTTCGATTATTTTTCCATGCAAGAACCCTCTACTCACACAGAAACTGATGTTTTCCAGTATTCTTGTTGGCAGATTGGGCGCTTTGCTTCAACATGCTTCAACCAAGTTGCTACTACTCCATTGGACTGTGCCAAGGAGCAGAAGAAGTACTCTGTGAGTGTCTCCTCGACCAAAACGTCGGATGCTCTCCAAGCCGATGCCAACTCATTGAGTTCGAGCCACTCATTCAGCCAGGCTTCAGGACCAGGGGCAGGTGTGAAAATCAGAGGTTCAGGATGTGCAGGCTCGAACCTATATCAATCTATGGCCTTTTGTTGTTGTCGATGTGATGTAAGTAGTCTCTCATGAGATTCGGTGTACTCAATACAAAACTCATGTTGGTTTGAGGAGTCCTGGGCTGCTCAACGTATTCT